AAAAAAAAAAAAAAAAAAAAAAAAAAAAAAAAAAAAAAAAAAAAAAAAAAAAAAAAAAAGGAACAAACACACTCAATCGCGCACGGCGGTGGAATCTGACCTGCACCGCCGAGGAATAGAGTCTTAGCAGAGGCCGGAGGCTTGATTTGCTCCGGAAATTTCACATTCTCGACTTGAATTCCGTTGAGATCAGACACCGACGCCATTGAAACCCTTAGTCAAGTCCGTCCAGAAGAGATCTAACGGGGGAGTGAAGTGGTGAGAGCGGAGAGGTTTAATTATATTTATAGGCTGTGGAGCGATCACGTGCAGAACACGTGGAGAAAGCACAGCCCCGTATTTTTCGTACTGCGAGGCGACCATGGTTAGGTAGAAAGGATGGTGTCCAATAATCACTGGTCTCTAATTTTTGTAAAATCCAATTAACGATAAATTCTTGTTTTAAATTTTCAATAATTTTTGCATTATTTTTTAATTTTTTTATTAGGAATTTCATCAAAATTCATTAAAAAAAAAAAATTATTTCTTGATTAGGAATTAAGCTGCTTCTTTAATCTCCTTATTTTATTCCGTTGGATTTATTTTTGTATATTTTTTTAATAAAATACATTTTTATGTCTCCTTTAAACAAAAGAAAATGAATATTTATACGAAATTTATTCAACTAACTAAAATTAGTCAAACGAATGCATTTAATATATTATTAATCTATTTTGTTAAAAACAGTAATACTCTATTAATTGATAATTAATAAATACTTAATTGTGTTAATCAAAACGTATTTTTATCAATAAAAATGCATTTATATATTTTAAATAAAACAACTACATATCATGATCGTAATTTTTGTGTAATTTTATCAATTATAAAATATATAAATTAATTTTAATACAAATTTTATAATGTTTTATGGTTTTTAATAAGAAAAATATATTAAAACTTCTGTCAGTATTTCTTTCTTTACTTAATCTGCTCGGATCCCTATAAAAATAAATGGAGATTGAAATAGGAGGTAGGGACGAACTTTCCCGTCTTGTCCCTTCCTGGGAACATCTCTACTCGTACCTATGGATTTAGATGCATAGTTAATGTAAATTGGCACGAATAAATTATGAATCTAATCGAAAGAGAATTTGAGCTTACGCATGCATACATACAAAGAGTTGAGCAAAACCAAAGAGTTCTAATTCTAGAGAGCGTAAATTCGATCAACTTCTGAATTTGAGAAGTCAGAGTGATGCCATGAGTTTGAGCCACTCCGTCTATTACTCTTTTCCTTCTTTCTGATGGATCGACTTCTCTTAGATTTCACAACATAGTAAGTCATGGTGCCAAGAACGCCCGCCATAATCACACCTCCAACCACTGTGATCACAACTGCAGCCCATCGATTTTTACGGCCAACCACGATGTAAGACGACGCCATGAAAGCGACCGAAGTACAAACAGAAGCCAGCCACATGAGTTTATTTATGATCACCACGACTCGTCTTTCTGCTTTTGTTTCACCTCTAACTAACGTAATCTGCACAACCACTACTGCCAACGACGTAAACAATGCGATTGCGTTGAAGATGAAGAAGATCTTGAAAGAACTAGAGCGAACGACAACAGCTGTTCCTTGATCCGTGTCGCCACCCGGCACCGTAAAGATGGCTGCAAAAGCAACTGTTGCAAAAAGCACAGCCACCACAGTTACTGAATTGGTTGCATTGTTGATTCCTTCCCTGTGCAGCTTTCTGAGCTCTTTAGAAATGTTATGCACATTTTTGTTTGTTTTTCGGGTTTGTTCAAGCTGGGTATGAACATCTCTCTTGATTTGAGTCACTGTGTTCCGCAACTCGTCTCTTGGTTGGTTTAGTTCGTTGGCTCGAACAGCGCCGTAACGAGACAGACAGTCCTTAATTTCTGATGATTCTTCTGAAAGAGGAAGCTCCTCAGCTATGTCAAAAGCAGTTTTGTGATCTCTGGATAGAGCATTCACGTTGGTGTCTGGGAGGAGCAATAGCTCCTGCACTATCTGCAAAGTTTAAGAGAAGGATGAGTATTTAGAGGGTTCTTTAGTGTACACTCATAACGCAAGAATCTCATTCCATACAATAACACTATCATTCATAAAAGGGAAGTTGGATATGCAAACAACTGGTCAAAACTTGTAACGGCCCACCACTAACAGATCTTGTCCGCTTTGGCCTGTTACGTATCGTCGTCAGTCTCACGGTTTTAAAACACATTTAGGAAGAGGTTTCCACACCCTTATAATGAATATTTTGTTCCCCTCTCCAACTGATGTGGGATCATACAATCCACCCCACTTGAGGGGACGCTGGCACACAACCTGGTGTCTGGCTCTGATACCATTTGTAATGGCCCAAACCTACCACTAACCGATATTGTCCGCTTTGACTCATTACATATCATCATCAGCCTCACGGTTTTTAAAACGCGTCTGTTAGGAAGAGATTTTCACACCCTTAGGAATGCTTTGTTCCCCTCTCTAACCGCGTCTGTTAGGAAGAGATTTCCACACCCTTAGGAATGTTTTGTTCACATCTCTAACTGACGTGGGATCTCATAGAACTTTACAATCAAAACAAACGAACCTCGTTCCCAACAATCCTATTCCCAAAATTCTCAGTCCTAAGACCCCGTATGATAACTATTTGGTGTTTGGTTTTTGAAAATTAAGCTCAAAAACACTATTTTTTCGGAGTTTTTTTTGTTTTGTTATCTACTTTCTCAAGTATTCCAAACCTATTAGTACTATATACTCGAGCCACCTTTCATCCCCAACAATCTTATTTCCAAACATCTCGTATCAGAACTGTTCATTTCAGTGCTACTATTCCAGATTGTCCCTTAAAAAGATTTATATAAGAGAGTTTCAAAAGGTATATAAGTTATCAAGAACTAAGAATATGAACAAACTAAAATCGACAAAGGTGATCGAGTGAAACTACCTCCACACGCTTCTTCCTCGTGGCGACGTGCAGCGCGGTGTTGCCAAATTTATCAGGAAGCATTACAATGGCAGGATCTGCATCAAGGAGCAACTTCACGACATCACGCCTCTGCCCTTTGACAGCCATGTGCAGTGCAGTTTGGCCCTTCTTGTCATTTCTTCGTGCTAACTGTGGATCTTTGCTGAGTAATAGTTTTACAATTTCAGGATGACCAGAGCGCACAGCAAAATGCAATGCATTTTTACCATTAGACCTACAAATCTCTAGTAGGCTATGATCTTTGTTAAGCAATTCCTCAACTACGGCTGTGTGGCCCCTTGCTGCAGCAGTAATGAGTGGAGTCGCATTCGACGGTCCAATTGTTTTGCTTAGAGAAGGTTCATGATCAAGAAGAACTTGGACAATTGCTACAATTCAAATTAACATATGATCAATATTTCCCCAAATTTTCCAAGTGGAGAAGATGAAATCTAAGCTTAGGGCATTCATTACAGAGCAGAAGTTGAGATCGAGATCCTTACCATGGTGTCCTTGACTTGCAGCTATATGCAACGGATCGAAAGCAGACCTGTTCTTCGTCGTAAGAGTCTCTTCATTGGAATACTTCAATAGCTCCTTAACGACTTCTATGTGTCCTCTCTCTGCGGCAGTGAACAGAGCTGTTTCGCCCAATTCATTGACCTCGTTCACTACTAACGATCGGACCTCAGCAACCTCCGCATCCAAATCGGCGCCACTGAGATTTCGCACCATCTGTGCATCAATATCACCGAGAATCTGCTTCACGGCGGCCAGATCTCCCCGCTGCGCCGCCAGATGAAGCTCGGTGTCGTTGTGCCGTCCGGTTACTTGCTTCACGTACTTCTTCTTCCCCGCTTGGTCTATCCGCTTCCCTGAATTGGATAGAACCAGAGCCGGAGCCGTCGAAGTCGACGACGGAGATGGAGTCGGCGATAGCTCAGCCATAGGGTTTTGATTCGACGATAGACTCAAAATCTCTTTCTCTAAACCTTCATCGCCATCCACTACCACTGCAAAAATCCAGAAAACAAACGAAATCACTCCCCGCCTCACAAAAATCCTCACCAGTACAATCTCAAATACAAAACAAAAACTAAATCACACAAAAACAAATTCCAAAATAGCACAGTCACCTTGAGTTGAAGAACTGCCCATCTCAAACGAGAGCCAACAAGAACCTCAAGAGATTGGCCTCCTCCAAATCTTTAATAGCGGATTTGAGAGCTCAGATTCCAACTCCGAAATTAGTGAGAGAAATTACTTCTGATAAAGTAAGAAAAAAATTCAGATAAAAACAATCGACGAGGAAAAATGAGACAAGAGGAAAGCTCTTGGAAATGAAGTCGAAGAATTCATTTCTTTTTTCTTACGAGGAAAAAATGGGACCAGAGGAAAGCGCTTGGAAATCAACCGAAGAATTTAGTTTTTTTTTTTTTCTTTTTTCTTTTCATAAAATACAATAAAAAAAGTCCATTTCTTTCAACCCTACTGTTCTTCGTCGTACCACTCGTTGCAGTGGTTGCCGCGAAAAACTTTACCGGTTGCCGGTTATTATTATTATTTTTTATTCCTAAAAATTATTATTATTATTATTGAATTAATAAAAAATACTTAATATGGAGATCAGTCTTTAAAATATAATTTTATTTATTATATCTGAAACTTATTCCCGTTTATATACTCTTTCAAATTTTTTTAATTATAACATATTAATCTTTCTATTATTATTATTTAGCTTAAATTAATTTTAAAATATTAAAATTAATATTTAGTAAAAATGCAGAGACTAAAAGACTTGAAAGAGATATTTTAACTTTAAAAAAATTATGGGTTATGAATATAAATTATATTTTTCCTCTTGGAAATATTTAAATCGTGATTTAAAGATAATAATTATTATTATATGAATGATTAAATTAAGGTGTTTGTATTTAGTTGTGGTGCTCGAATATTTTATATTGATATTGGTTTTTGGTTGTTTGAAAGTCAGCCGAATAAAATCTAAAGGAAAGAACAAATGGGGCGGAAAGGTATGTGACATGCGAGAGCATTTTATCCACGGCTTTTTATTTATTTATTGTTGACTTCCAATAAAAGTTTTAATTTGTTTATATAATGTTTTCAAAAATGTTTTTTTTTTGTTCGAAAGATTATATTAAGTAATGACTTAAATATTCTATATATGAATAAGGTTTGGTATCTTATAAGTGACGGTACTTTATACAAGACTGAACCATGAATATTTAATAACTCTTTATAAATAGACCTACTAAAAATAACTCTTTTCCTTTCTAGATGATTTATAATTTCTCTGTATATTTATGGTATTTTTAAATAATTAAAAGTATTAATACTATTTTTAATAAATTTGAAAAAAAAAATAATAAAAAATATTTAAAATTGAAATTTAAATACTTTTCAAAATTCAAAAATATTCTTTAAACAAATTAAAATTGCATCGACTTAAGAACAATCGATCCATCCGCTCTTTCAATGTCGGGCATACTTAATTTGAGGGAGTGATACTAAATTTCTTTTACACTAAAAAAAATAAAAAGAAAATAAATAAATTCAAATGGTGTATAAAATTCAATAAAATTCTTAAAATTATCAAATATTGGGATTTATATCACATAGAATAATATAAAAATTCATATACCTATCAAAATACTATTAAACACAAACACAAACACAAACGAAACTCAACCATGACTTCCAACCTTTTCGGAAGTTATTATGGTCAATGATACGACAACTTTCATTTTTTCTCCTCCGTTCAAAACCCCACTGAAATGTTCCTGAAAATTCTTGCTCTTTAGACCATTTGTATCAACATCCATTAGGATCCTGATTCATGGAATCTCTGGAGATTCGAGAAATCAGAATAGAATATAATTTCAAAAATCTTCGTCTAAGAGAAAACAATAGAAAAGATCAACTTGGCTTCGTTTTTTCTCAGTTCAGAACCCCACTGAAATGTTACTGAAACATTTTGCTCTCATTAGACCATTTGTATCGACATGCGTTAGTAGGATCCTGATTCATGATTCATGGATCTCTCAATTCGAGAAATCAGAATAGAATATGATTTCAAAAATCTTCATCTCAGAGAACACAATAGAAAAGGCTTAGGTGGGTTGAGTGGAAATAATGTCATGGAAATTTGGAGAAGCTTAAAGTGGAATGCACTAAAAAACTAAGTTTTAAAAACATGAAGAACAAAACGCTAAACTCTGAAATATATAATTGTCAATGAAAATAGAACAGCTTGGTTTAGGAGGGGAAAACCCCAAGAGAATCAAGACATAAGCTTATCAAGAATACGAGACAAAACTTGTCAACAAAATTGGTCTGCCGTTGCATAATAGAGTGACTACCGAATATTACTACACCTTAATAGCATATTTCCTCAATGGATAGTACATCTCCTTCTTCTTCTCTCTTTCTGTTTTCAACGACGCCTGCATCATACAATGGAATCATTCAACGAAATTGTTGAAACCATGAAAGAAATGGTTCACAGCATTACAATTGCATCAAGAAAGTGATTAGAAAAGGAATCAGATGGTATCATCCACATACCTAACCAATTCTACAGCATTACTTGAAGACTTGGTTAAGAAACCATAATTCTAATTAATCAAGGCTTAGTTTGATGATCGTTTGCTTATTTGACTTTGGTTTTAGTCAATTAAGCTTATAAAACAAGAGGTAAATTCCTTTATTTAGTTTGTATTCCACTCTGTATATGTTCTACAAATCTCTGGCAACAAAAGATTTCTAAACTTTGTTCTTAAATTGGGGTAAGAATTCAAATGTTTTCTTGCAATGAAATTGAGAGGAAACAAACGAAATTCCAAAACCATGATTAGAAATGAAATTGTTATCAAAATATACTTGCTTCAACTTCAGAATTCAAGGTTTTGAAACTAACAAAAAACCCAGCCACTATTCTTGTATAAGTTTAATAGCATTTCCTTCCCATACCAATTCTTTACTGTTTCTCATCCAAACCAATAGGCAACAAGTAGTTTTAAATTTTTTTTTTTTTTTTGGCAACGTAGAAAATCTCAACAGGTATCATATGCACAGACATTGTCAACATTTAAGAATATAATCCATACTAGGGCCAGAAAACAGTTTAAGAGACGAACACACAAAATCACGCTGTACTGAAATTAAAGGGAAGAAAGACCGTAAAAGATCAAGATGAAACAATTACTTGATGCTTGGTGAGCCTTCTACGAATGGCCCTCGTCTTCTTTGGGCGCAGATCCAGAGGCAGGAGCTTCTTCTTCTTGTAAGCTTCCCTCAATGCAGCCTTCTGCTTCTGGGAAATCACTGTCAGGACTTGAGCAATCGACAATCTAACTACCTTGCTGCAAAATCAACCATACAGAACAACAAGGTCAACAAAAGGATGAGACGTATCACGGGAGAAAATAAAAATAATTAAAAGAAAAAGGAATTACATTTTGGATAACTTGTTCGGGGCACCGCCGGTGACTTTGGCGACTCGAAGGAGAGAAAGCTCCGCCTTAAGATCCTTAAGCTGTGTCAACAGATCCGCCTTCGATTTCTGCCTCAACTCATGAACCTTGATCCTCGCTACAAGCCGAAAACACCAAATTGAATAACAAAAATTTCATCATTATCCTCAAAGAATTAGAGAGCCAAAAGCGAATTGAGTACGTTTAATTTCGTTTATGAGAAGATCTGACTGAAAACCTACCCATTTCTTCTCGTGTGCTCTTCTACTCCACGCCGCCTCGGCAAAACCCTAGAAGAGAAGATGGGAACCTGGTGGAAGAGCTGCTACTGAGAAGACTAGGGTTTTCGAAGAGAAGGTAGTTAAGTACCATTTGCGAAATGCCAAATTTGCCCTTTTGAGCCTGAAAATAAGGGTGGATTTAAGCCCACTCAACTGTTCCGGCCCAATAAATCCAGGGCTTCATTTGATATCGCCATAAATTAATAGAAATATTTTTAGACTTCTACTTTGTATAAAAACTATTTTAAATAATACCTTAAACATTTAAAAAAATCTAAAAAAATATCATAATTCTGAGTTTTGGAAATTTCTCTATTTTAAAAATACTTTAAACTTTTAATTTTAAGCTTTTCAAAAGTTTCAAAAAGTGTGAGATCCCAAATTAGTTGGAGAGGAGAATCAAATATTTCTTATAATGATATGGAAACTTTTCTACCTCAGAAGCATTTTAAAACCCGTGAGATTGACGGTAATACGTAACAAGCCAAAACCGACAATATCTGCTAGTGGTAAGCTTGAATAGTGACAAATCATATCAGAGCCAAACATCAGGCAGTGTGCCGATGAGAATGTTGGGCCCCTAAGGGGGTAGAGTGTGAGATCCCACATCGAGTCGAGAGGGGAACGAAACATTTCTTATAAGGGGTGGAAACATCTCCCTGCTTGTAAAGTTGAGAAATTTAGAATTTCGAAGTGTGAGATCTCACATCAATTGGAGGGGAGAATTAAACATTTCTTACAGGGGTATGAAAACTTTTTTATAACAAAAGCATTTTAAAACCCGTAAGATTGATGGTGATACGTAACAAGCCAAAACTGACAATATCTGCTAGTGGTAGACTAGAACAATGACAAATTATATCGGAGCCAGACATCAGACAGTGTACCAACAAGGATGTTGGGGCCCTAAAAAGGTAGATTGTGAGATCCCACATCGAGTCGAGAGGGGAACGAAACACTTCCATCTCCCTAGCATACACATTTTAAAGATCAAAACAAACAATATCTCCTAGTAGTGGTTAGACTATTACACAAAGCTATCTAGGTTTCGTATGCCTAAGTTGAAACTTGACTGAGCAAAAGCATGGTAACAAAGCTAGGCCCGAGACTCGAGATAAAAATAATAATAAATCTTGGTGCATAAAAATAATAATGTAAATTCTGTCACTCATGAATAAAAAGAATACATCCTCTTCAAACACTTCAACTGGATCAAAACTGTGAATCCACAAATATATCTCTCTTTTTGTGAAGAAAAAAAATAAAAAATAAAATCTCTCTGTTTTTATATGCTAATGTTTATCTATTATATCATAATAGCATTCAAAGTATTTAAATGCTACCAAACTCTGCAACAAGCTCATTCACCAAGAATCTCTCTAATTCTCTACATATACTATCAATCTCACCTCCAAGATCTATCCATCCAATCTCCTTCCCAAACTCTTCATCTACTAAATCCTTCTTCACTTCCCTTTCTTGCCTATCCAGCACGATCCATACTTCCTCCTCGATCATTTTGTCGCCAAGCAACGATCGAAACCGAAACCTTCTCGACACAGGCTTTGCCCATTCTGGCACACC